CAACAATATTTTGACATGATACTCTATTTTTGTTGGATGGCACATGTATACAGGGCACACTTTCATATGAAATAAACATTGCCATGTAAAATGCCAACTAATGGAAATGAGAAAGAAGATAGAATTTAAAAAGGAACATATACCAAGTTTTCCTAGTTGTTGCTGGAGCTAAGATATAAAGTTAACAGAGTATATTTCTACTAGAGTAAGAAATTACCTAGCTACATTTAAAATAATTCTTTAAAGTTTTGCTGAGTAAAACAGGCTCATTTTCTCACCATCCTCCTGAAAGAATGAAGTAAACCAATTTTTGCTTCTTCTTGCTACTCTTAAAATACAGTTTTAAGAACTAATCAAAGAGTTTGAAATGACAGTCTGAGAGAGCGTTTCTGGAGGCCACACCGAAATGTTCTCCTATTGCTATAAGAGGGGCACATCTCCCCAAATCATGATCCCAAGAGCCATGCCTATGCATGGTCTATTTTTTTCCTCTTTTTCACAATTCAAGTCCAAGGTAAAATAGTCTCTTCCTTCTGTAAAAATTATTTCCAACTGCTTCCCCTACTTCCCCTCAGATGCACATTCCATTTCCCTCTCACATGCTGTATCTGTTTCTAATTCTTCAAAAATACAAATCACATTATCTCTAAAATTGAAATTCTTCTAGAAATTTCAGCTACTCTCTCTTGAAACACAAATTTTTGAATATATAGGAAGCAGATTTCATAAATTTCAGACAGATTCCAAAACTCAAATTTTTTCTCTCTCTAGCCATCCTTCCTTCTCCTACCTTTCTTCCCCTTTCTTCTTTTACCTTTTCGTCAGATAACATATTTTCAGTGTACCTTCCCATCTTTGGCTCAATATTACTCTAAAAAAAGAGCTATGCAAGTAAAAAGAAAGACCACCATTCCTTAGGAATATAGACAAGTAGCACAAACAATAATCCAATCATGTAAATTTCATTCATATCAAGTTTTGTTCCCTATGCATGGTTCTTTTTACCTTTGTACATCAGTGTATATATTCTGTATCTTTGTTAGCACAAATAGACTATTCATTTCCAAAAAAACTCAGAGAAAACATATTTGTCTTTTGTGGGACTGGCTTATTAAGTATAATGATCTCTAGTTTCATTCATTTTGTTGCAAAAGACAGGATTTCATTATTTTCTGTGGCTTAGTAGTATTCCATTGTATATACATACCACATTTTCTTTGTCCAATAATTGGACAACGAACATCTGCGTTGATTCTCTATTTTTAGCTATTTGTGAATTGAGGTGTTGTAAACATGTGTGTGAAAATAATCTATCATATTCTGACTTCATATTCTTTGGGTAAATCAGAAGTAGAATGGCTGGGTCATATGGTAGATCTATTTCAGAATCATATAATGTCTGTTCTAGTTTACCTTTGCATCAGCAGTGTAACAGGCTACTTTACATTATCTTAGGCTTTATCATTTTATGGTTTTTGAATGGTAGCCATACTAACCAGATTGAGGTAAAACCTCATTGTCAAGTTTTATTTGGATTTCCTTGCTGTTTATTGACCCACATGCCTACTGCCTGTTCGTATTTCACCCTTTCAAAAACTACTCCCTTGGAGTCCTCTGCTTGTTTTTAAACAAGATTGTTAGTTTTGTTGCAGTTGAGTTTCTTCAGTTCCTCATATCATCTACATATATGATGTCTTTTACCAGCTGCCTAGTTGGCCAATGTTTTCCTCTGGGGTCAGCACTGTGGTGCCAGATTGACAGGCTTTCTACTTCATTATTACTAAAATAGATTACAAATTGTGTCTACTTATTTTCTTTCCTATTTTAAAGTTTTATTTATTTGTTTGAAAATATGAGAGAAGAAGTAGAGGCAGAGACAGACAGCTGTTGTATCTACTGCTTTACTCCTCAAATGCCCACAACATTTGAGATGGGGCCAGGCCAAAGACAGGTGTACGAAGTGCCTTACAGGTCTACCACGTGCTTGGCTGAGGCCCAAGCACTTGCAGCATGGTGCAGTGTTCTTCCAGATGCATTAGCAGGAAGCTGGATAACAATCTCAGTAGCTGGAACTTGAACCAGGACTCTAACCTGGCAGCCAGGACCTCTCAAACTAGGGCATAATCCATTGAGATGTAAATTCTTATTGGTTAAATAATTATCCCAAACTAGTCACTGTTTACTATATCCATTTTACAGTACAATAGCACTTTCTGGCTTGTACTTTTAGAAAAAGAATGTGGAAACCAGATAATTCCATACCTATAACCTCTCTGACCTGGCAACTCACTAATCTACTTTCTGTCTCTGTGAATTTTCCTATGTGGACATTTCCCAAAAATGAAACCCCATGATATATGGTCTGTTTTTTTTTCAGATGTCATAATATTTTCAAGATCAATCCTTGCTGCAATACATATGTATGTGTCTTGATCTATGTTACTGAATAATATTGTAACACATAGATATAACCATTTTGTTCCTGCATTTTTCAATTAAAGCCATTTCCATTACTTTCATTCTTGGATAATGTAAGTAGCTGTAGTAAATATCACTATTTAGTCACTGCATTACTGAGTCATCATTAATTACTGCAGCAATATTAGGTCACTTGTGACATCAAAAACAATAAAACATATTCTCAGGGTTATTCTCTAACTTCTAAGTCAAGCAACTAATGCAGGGGCTATGATATTATGGTGCAAGGCATTAAACTGCTTCCCCACAGGACCAGCATTCCATATGAGTGATGGCTGAAGTTCCAGCTGCTCCACTCCTGGCCCAGGTCCCTGCTAATGCACTTGGGAAAGTACAAAAAGATGACTCAAGCACTTGGGTCCCTGCCACCGATGTGAGTGACCAACATGGGGTTCCAGGTTCCTGGCTTCTGTCTGGCCCAGCCCTAGTCATTGTGGCCATGTAGGGTGTAAAGCAAAGACTGGAAGAACTTTCCTCTCTTCTCACTCTCTCCCTTCATTTGTAACTCTACCATTTACCTACATTTGAAAAATCTCTAAAAGTAATAAATGAAGTAAAGTTCTGTATAGGCTAAGAAGTGGTATGAATATAGGATGCATTTTATGTTTTAATATTATTTCCTCATTTCACGTATGCCAGGTATCATCTACCAATTCCTCATACTGGTTATCACTAGTGAAAGAATACTTTAAAAATCAGGCATTCATTTCATTATAACAAAGATAATCATCATCATCATCAAAGAGGAACAGAAATCATGATGGGCACCCTAAGTACTTCTGACAGCTCTCATTTGTAGAACACTTAGCATGTTCATAGTACTGTGGAGGAATACAAGAAGTGCAATTTACTTCCTGAGGCCAGGCGAGGGTGCACCATGCACACATGCAATTCCTAGAAACGATGATAAACCAGCAAAACGGAGTGTAAAACTATCTGACCTGGTATCATTTTCATTTGCTAGACAGACATTTTCTGTATCTAATTAAATGATTATAAATTATTCGAGTTTTTCAAATGGATGAATCAAAATGGTAGATATTCTACTAAATGCAGATTAAGACATTTTATTTACATCTGAGTGGAGTGAAAATTTTCAACATTTTAAAATCAAGCATCATACATATGTATGGAAATTATCAGAAGATATCAGTAGTTATCAAACATCACGATCTGAACATCTTTAAATGCTGAAAAGTAGGGGAGTATCACTAACTGGTATATGTTTATTCAAATAATTTTTCAGTGGATCGATTCTGTGTCCAGCAGTTTAACAGTATCTATCAAAAGTACTTGCCTTCAAGGAAAACATATAGATTTTATGACAGGAAAAAGACATTACTGCTAAGTAGGTCAATATTTGAAAATTCAGGACATTTCCAAACATATTTTCTGATGCTGGTTTTACAGAGGCACAGCAACAAGTATGCTGAAATCCACTAGAGGGAGCTAAAACTCTTGCAAAATTTTACCACTTGATTCGCTATCAAGAAAATAAACTCCTAACCAAAAATAATTTTGAAATACAAAATATGTATTTTGCTTTACACAGTTACTCTTATTTTTGCATAAATTCTAGAAAATGCACAAAATTCATGAATGTCAGTATATTGATTATAGAGATGTTATTGTAAAGTGTGAAATCTCACAGACAAGCAAAGAGAAATATGTTTTCTAACTAAAAGTTTGGTACAAAACAGATATATGTTCATTTGCTTCTCACCAAAAACTTGGGGAAAAGATTTTTTAACAGCACTTTGCTCTTAATGTTTTGTAACTGAAATATACACTTGACTCTTTCTTGGCCACACATGAACATATGAACGCAGGTGTATGGTGAATCATTCAGTCACTGTTGATTACACGTTTTCACAAACCTGATTTTCAAAGACCTTCTTTCTAAGTTAAGCTGGGGAGTAGATACTTCCAAGCAGATACTAAGTATTAGCATTTTTCTGAGCATTTTATTGAGAAACAAAAGGAATATGTTAAGATACTTGCTACTCATGTGGCATACCAAATGATCCACTTTTATCTTTTATTTTCCCATCAAAGTAGAAAAGGGGGATTTTGTGCTAAAAGAGTAATCCAATGTTAAAGTGCAGCCCACAGAATAATTTGTGCTTCCCTGTCAGTTGTTGCGCATATATTATAGCTATAACAGTCTTCAGAAGCATCGATGAAAGTTTTAGAAGTTCTCCAAGTATCTGTGAACGCAGAGCAACTAAATATAATCAAAATCTACTCACATTGTTTCAACAGGTTTTCTATTTTCTTCAATGCACACAGCTCAGACTCTGAAACAGCAACTTACTGAAGAGATATGCTTTAGTTGTTCCTCAAAGTTATGGAATGATTATGGGGTGAGAGAAATGCAAAGATTCAATATTTATTTTCCAACACCGGTGTTTCCTAACTTGTTAATCATGATGGTTGTAGTGATGATGATTTCACTGATGTTTTCTCCACAAATAACCAATTCAGAGAATTTTAAGGGAGCATTTTTAAATGCTTTTACTTACTTGTCTGTAGTTCTTTCTCTTTCGCCTGGGCATCCGCAAACACCTGGTTAAAATGATTTGTAAAGGCCACGAAGTCTGCATCCAGGAACATTGGCCCTTGTCCTTTCTCTTTCAGAGCTATGCTTTGACTCTTTAATCGCTCAATTTGAGACTGAAGAGCTGACAGACGGTTGACTTCATCCTGTGTCATAATTGAGAGTATTACCAATAAAGAACCCTTTACAGCTGCATACATTACCTCATTGGAAAAGAAGGTATTCAACAGCGATACTGCTTGGCTGAATACTCTTAACACAATGCTAAGACATTCATTAACAGTGTCAGCCAATCTCTTCCATGGGTCATCAATTTCAGAATGCCCTGGCTTCTTATTTGGTATATTACATCGTAAATAATCATCTTTATTTCAACTTAACATCATTTACAGAATTAATGGGCTTGAATGCGTTCTGCTGAAAATTGCTTTGGACAACCTTTCCAGCAGTCAAAGCCAGTGTTTGCATCCCTCTTGTGTACAAACACCGTGATTTGATCAGCTTTTAAGCTCATTCAATGAATGGCATTTTTCCCGTTTTTAAACATAAAATATATGTTCCTAAATATATGTAGACATATGCATACATTATTGATATGTTTATGTATTAGATGTATTTTTATATAATAAGCATATTTATATCTATAATCTTCTACATTTCACACAGCATCATTTACCCTCCTAAGTCAAAAGGGCTTAATTAGGCTAACGGTTTGTCCATACTTTCTCTTACTGTTCTGGACAAATTAGTAGCACCTTGTATAATCTTCATAATACCCTGGCTTGAATGCCGAGATGAGATGGATACAGATGTGCTGTCCAATACAGTTAGTCACAAGCAACATGGGGCGGATTAGCAAGGGACATAGAACTAGTTCACAGATGTGCTAAAATGACAAAATATATACTAACATTTAAAAATCAAGAACACCATCTCACAATTTTAAAAATATTTTTCTTAAAAATGTCACGATAAATAAAAACATTACCGACGTTTATGTACTTACCTTTCTCTGAAAATTTAGTTTCTAAAATTATACATATGATTCAAATTCCTGACATTTTTCTTCGGGTCAATTCTATTATTTCCATATATGTTTTGATATTTGTGCTGCCAGTGACATTGTAGTCAGTTTGAGACTGCAGTCAGTTTGCATTTAATAGATATAATTTAAACTCAAGGTGAAATTCTGCAATTTTCTTCTTACATGTATTATTGCCATGGCTATTTATTTATAAATCACACCTATTCAACTTTTACAAAAATTACTTGGGGATCATTTACTATTTAATATGTAAAAAGCAGTATCATTTAAATTAAAAACTTGATCATGGGCCAATTAGGAAATTGAAAGGTGGGAAATTGAAAGAATTACAGTAACTATGAAGTAAATTTGAATCTGGGCCTCTTGGAAATCAAAATGAAAATGCAAAAAAAATCAGCAATTAGTTTTAGAAGTATGTATAACAGAATAACTTTTCCCTTGATGTTGACAGAGATATCTTATGCAAATTGGTATAAACGGAAAATACTTCATATGTGCAATTTCAAGATAGTCATATTTCCCTCCTTCACGCCCTTCCTCTCCAAACTTCCTTTGCTTTTTCGAAAAGTTTTACAAAAAAAAAAATTCAATTCACATAATTAGAGGCTTTATGTGCCACTAACCATAATACTCAACAAGTAATTGGTAGAAAGTCAGTTCCACAGGACTACAAGGGCTAAAAACAAAAATCAATTCACAAAACCATGTCCTTTCCTATATACTTTTTCTATAGTTATATTAAGTATCACATATCAGAGAAAACATCTTCTTGGGACTGACGTATTTCACTTAGCATATTGACTAACAGTTGCACCCATTATACTGCAAAAAGTGAAATATGTTTTCGACAGTATGATTCACTCTGGCAAGAGCACCTAATGGACAATGCTACTTGTCCTGGTTGTAGAACAGAATATGTGGCTGTAAAAGGATGGATTGATTCAGGTAAGTTAAGGTATGACAGTTCACTTCTTTAGGTAAATAGTAAAGACTTATAGGAAAATGAGATGGCACATCTTCATCGTTCAAAAACACACTTTCTCAACCAAGCACTAGAAGATCAGCATGCATTCATGGATGAAGAAGGTGAGAAGTTATGTGAAACACTTCGTGTTTCTTTATTATAAATGTACAGATATATATTTTGTCTTCCAGATTTTAAAATTGTAGTGATGGTGTTATAAGAGTTAACAACCTGATTTACATTTGGCCAGATGGAATGGAGTCATTTTTCCTGTCCAGGGACTAGAGAAGTATCCTACAGTATAGCCAAGTGTGTTCGGATAAACTAAGGGAGCTGTGAAACTAATAAAACATTTGGGCAAGTGTTCAGTTGAGACCTGGAAGTACTGAAAAGAAATCATAGGAAAGATCATTTTGAATGGAAATATACATCATTTAAAAGCTGTTAACAATTAGCCATTATTTTCAGAAAAATACTAGCTGTGATTTTCCTGCAGTGTAAGTTTGCCCCTGTGGGTTTGCTTATCTTTCAAATTGATATGACTGCCTGATGAAAGCTTCTGTGTTTTTCTCAGAAAGGAGCCATGGAATTCCTCCAAATTGAAACAATGCTGTTAACCCCAACATATTAGGGGAACCGTTTCTTTCCAGGATTAGATTAGGAGCTAAATCTGCAGTCTAGTGATGTAAAGCATCTCCAAATAAGAGGAAGTAATGACAAACACACCATGATCATTTATTTGCTTACCACTAACCACAGCCAAATAGCATACATTTTAGCGTTTATATGAATACTGAACTTACCCTGTTAAATATATTGCCAAAATCAAAACATCAAAGGACTAGAAACCAATAGGCAAGTGGCAAAGTATAAAGAGGTGATCAAGAGGACTGAGTCTGTCATCATTTTCAATGTTTGGGGTTGGATATAACAAAGTGAATATTTTTCTACTTAGAGTATTTTCCTAAACCTCAAGATTATATTTACTTGCTCTTATTACAAACTGCTCAGAGAAAACCAATTAAAAGATAAAAAATATTTGGATATATAAAGTATAAAAAATTTTTATAGGGCTCAGTATAGCAGCCTAGTGGCTAAAGTCCTCACCTTGCATGCACTGGGATCCCATATGGGCTCCAGCTCTAACCATGGGCGGCCCCACTTCCCACCCAGCTCCCTAAGTGTGGCCTGGGAAAGCAGTCGAGGACAGTTCAAAGCCCTGAGAACCTGCACCCACGTGGGAGACCCAGGAGACTCCTGGCTTCGGATTGGCTCAGCTCTGGCTGTTATGGTCACTTGGGGAATGAATCAGCAGACAGATCCTCCTCTCTGTATATCTGTCTTTCTAATAAAAAAATAAATAAACCTTTTTAAAAAATCTACATTGGTTTTCCACCATACCCAGTTTTTAAGAATTTCTTGAATCTTGTCATATGCATGAATAACTTTTTGTTTTGAATCCATTTTCAAGATATTTTTGAAATTCCCTGGTGCATACAACATCTAGCAATTGCCAATTGCCAAATGACCCTCAAATTTATTAAAAACAAAACAAAACAAAAAAAAAAAACTGTCCCCTGCACAGCGGCCTTTTGTAACCTTTGTCACTCCTCCTACGTCTCAGTTCCTATACAACCAGAATGGATGCGCAACTTTTGAGTGGCTTGCAGTCTTGTGCTTTCATTCACTGTGTTCCTTCAGCTTGAGTCTAGCTCTCTCTAATTACGACTCATCACAAAGGCATTCGAATGCCCTGTCATCAAGGAGGTACCATTGGACGCATCTAGAATTTTATTATTTTTTTCATGATGCAGTTTCTTAGGCTCAGGGATTTCTCTCCTCTCCTCTCCCCCATTCCCACTTCCGCCCATAATTATTACAATACTATAGTCCTTCATATAGTCACAAGGCCATCATTCTTCTATGCAAGTGTATCATGACATTGCAGGTATAAACCTCAAGTTTTCTACCTTCCAGAACTTTGAGGGGAAAAACTGCTATTGCTTAAGCCATCTGGTTTATGTTGTTATGGCAACCTAGCTGTCAAGCCACCATTCTTGGCTACATTAGAATATACAAAGGTATTTCGAAAAGTTCGTGGAAAATTAAATTAAAAGGTAACTTAATTATGGTTGAAAAGGCCTTTCAGGTTCAACAGGCATGTTTCCATTACACATAGTACATAGTTTTCATTAAAATGTTGATGATATATCATATTTTATGGATAAAGGTAGTTTGCAGGTGGTGTTATTAATGATTTCTGTATCTGATTGTAATCAGGCTAAGGTAACATCAGATTTCTGCTGTAAGAAATAAATTAGGTCGCTTATTCCACTAACTCATAGATAAAACCCAAAGATTGTACTTATTCAACAATAAGATGATTGGAAGTACAGGAATAGCCTGGATTTGGATGTACACCAATAAACTACATGGATATGCGTACTATAGTCTTTATCCTAAAATATGTCTCTTGATTTTCTTTTCATATCCTATCAAAGCTATAAATTACTGAAGAACTATCAGGTCCTTCAACTGTTTTTCTCTTTGACTTTTTAATGTCCTACCACATTCTGAGCTCAACACTTTTTCCAAGTTTCGCTTTCACTTTATTCAAACCACTACTTGTAAGTACACAAATTAGCCCCCATTCGTAACTTTTTGTGCTAAACACATTCTTCTCAATCAGTCATGAAAAGTTTATTCCGGGAACATTTCATTTCACTATTTAATCAATTTTCCTTCCATGCATAAATGCATAGTTTACAACAAGGATGGGACAAAAATCAATCTGGTTTTAATTTCTTTGTAAGTTTCACTTATACAAATGTCCTTTTAGTATCTTTCTCAGTTGAAGTCCACAGACACACCGCCCACCCTTTTTCTGTGTGCCACAAGACTGACAGTTGGCAATCACAGCACTTCGCTCACATATGACCTGAGATCTGGTCACATGCGGGATGTAAACAGGGAAGGGAAGTCCTGTGGTTCTTCTCCCAGCCATGTCTTTAGGGCAGGTCTTGAGCTGGCTCCTAAGGCTGTCTTTTCCATGAGACTCTGACTCAATCCTTTAGCATTTCTTTCCCCGGATTGTTTGTTGCTCAAAGGAAGTTACCACTCTTAGGCTGGATTATTTCACTAGCCCTTGTGACTCCTCTGCATCCCAACCATATTGAAGCCATGTTTCTGTAAAGAAACCTTCTTCAAATTTTGCTAGTTGGAATGGGCCTTCAGCTTTAAAGTCTCCTTATGTGTCCTGTTGTAGAGCCTACAGGTTTATTGTTACCTGTGTTTTCTATTATCTGTATGGATTTCACCTTTTAGAATTGGGACTGGACTTTTTTCTTTCTAAGCAAATGAAGAGTTTCAAAGTTGAGGCTGGTTTTTGTAATTTTCACAATCCCAAAATCACCTCTCCCTTTTGCAAAGTTACATTCCAAATTTACAGTTCGTTAATCTGTATATGATCCATTCCAACTGCTTTTCATCGCTTATGGTTTCATCTTGACTGGCTTAGCTAAATCCATAGGAGGCTAAAGTTTCAGTACGAAACACTTTGCCACTGTGCTCTTGAAAACTGCAAAGACACACAATACCCATCATGTTCCAAATACAGGAGGGAAGACTCTTACCTTACACATTTTCAACTGGCTTTTAATTGCTGCTGGCTCTGATGCAGTGGCAGGCTGGCTTTTCAACCAGTTTTCAGCAGTAGTTATCATCTGCTCCAATTGTTGTAGCTGATTATAGAAAGTGATAATGCTGTTCTGGTACTCCAGCCAGTGTAGCCTGTCACTTAGCAGCTGACAGAACTCCATCCACCGGCTGTTCAGCTGTTCCGAGGCTTGCTTGATGCTGTCGGCATTAACACCCTCTAGAAAGGGGGAAAAACTTAAGTATATGCCCTGAAGTCACAGATTGAAAGAAAGGATCTGAAAACTGGTATACCACAACTACAAAGGTATTCATTCTATGAATTCAAACAAAATTACTTAGCATTAAATATGTGAAAAGTATGAAGATGATTTCTGATGACTGCAAATCATTAGAGTTGCATCTTATCAAATATGAATGCCATAAAATAATAAATAGCAAGACATTCGATGTACCCATGTAGAATCCATTTGGAATTTTAAAAACAGGTAAAAAAGTCAAATGCAAAACTCAAAAATAGACTGTAAATGAATACTTTTTTGGATGTTTCCAAATAAACATTAACAATTCTGTACATTAAGAACTTTGTTTATACTTTCAAAATTAGTCTTAGAATTCACTGAAATATTATTTATATGCATTTAAAACCAAGAAAAACAAATTATTTCTGTATTTCTGCTGTACAAGACCAGAAATGGATCATTCATGGACCTAAGAGGCTGAAACAAACATTAGGAACAATACATATTCTAATATGAGAAAACTTTTATTTATAAGTGTAAAAGTTGCTGTAAAAGTTTTAAGGGCATCTATAGTGAATGATACTGAATGCAGAAAATTGTACCAAGGAAAAAACTGAAACAAAGATACCATTACCACTGTTATCCTTCAAAAATATACTCTGCTGTCATTTAAAATATGCAAATCTCTAGATTTGCTTCACAAATTTTAAATTTGCTTATACATAGTTTTTATATTTCTTCCTTAATAGGGATATTATATGAGTAATAATATATATTTTTTTTCAGAAATATATATACATATATATAATTTTTTCAAAAACAAAGTGTTGGATGGACAAGGGAGAGGGAAAAAGGTCCGCAGAGGACGATAGCTAGTGAGTTTGCGTTCGTTGGTTCACTCTCCAAATGGCTACAATGGTCACGGCCAAGGCCAGACCACAGTCATGAGCCAGGAGTCATGCAAATTTCCCATGTGACAGGCAGAGACCCATGCATATGAGATCTCACCTACTAGCTGCTCAGCTGTGTTAGCAGGAAGCTGAATTGCAAATAGGAAGTATTCTGGTACCAGGGTTAAGTTCAAATGTACCTTCCCTACTAGGCTGCTGAATCAAGATTACTAATTTAATTTTATTGAGTCTCATTTTTCCTATCCACAAAATGAGGTCAAAAGAGAATTAATTCCATAGGATACTTGTGAGAGTTCTGAGTTAATATACAGCAGATATTTGTACATAATTCTGATACATGCTATTTGACCAATACTTATTAAGCAATGTTAAAGTAGAGAAAATAACAAAAAAATATTCTGGAATAAAGAAAAAAGACCAGATCACTCAAGTGATGAAATTAGAGAGAGATTGCTTTTGTATGAACAAGTTCTTTAAGGTAAAAATTGATTACTATCTTTAAAAATTATTAACTAAGTTTTTATTACATAAATATGGACATAAAATGGGATATACAGAGTTTAATGTACAAAACTACTTAAAAAGTTATATCAATGCTCAGTTATATATTCTTAAGAGTTTTTTAAGGAATTGTAGAATATTTGCTTACATATTCCTAGCTGTTTGCAACTGTAGTTAGGGAAAGCCAAAATCAAAAATTTAAGCAGAATTTTCTAGTTATATTATATATTACTCAAACTTTTAATACTTAGACAAAAAATGAAATTTGTAGATGTCACTAATGAAGATATAAGAAAGCCAGGGAATCATAACTTTAAATGTGAAAATATTATAATCTAAACATTGTATTACGTCACACGTGAATATGCTTGTTGCTAACTAGACTTTCTAGACTCAGTCCTCATAGGCAGTTTCCGGCAGTATCTTATAATGTTGTTTTTGTGAATCCAAGCAAAATAACTACACGGACAAACGCACCAAGTGCCAACTCAACAGCGCACTGTGTATGAATAAAAGCACAAGGGAGTGACAAACACAGAATCAGAAAGTCACATACACACAGGAACACTGTCGCACTTACTCCAGATGTACTTTCAAATTCTTGGACAGGGCATGAGAAGCACATGCCACAACATTGAATCTATCACACTTAAATTAAAAATTAAAGTGCTGTTGCTCACAAATTTCACAAATTAATTCTCATCCATTTGCCAATACAACTCATGATTTCAGAATGTTCACTAACCATCCCTTGAATAAACACTGGTTCTCGGATTCTGGAAGGGAATGTTCAAGTATGAAAATCTTTTATTACATGCATCACTATTTTGCATGTATTCATAGAACTATGCTCCTTAGCAGAATTGAAAACATTAATTTTCATAACAGTTTCTAAGTTTAGACATCTACAAAATATCAATCACTTGGGCCATTGCTTTTCTGATTTTTTTGTTAGCTGCTTAAAAACACAAACACTAACTCACCAGCATTATGAACAATACTTAGGAAAACCATTTTGCAGCAGCACATTAGAATTTCAGGGATAATGGATCATAATCCATTCGCATCTCACAGCTTAAACAACCCCTGAAATAGTCTAAGAATAAATACATTATACCCAGAGGAAATGGATCATTACTTGAAGTGCATCCATTAATTTTATCACCTGTGTACAGTGCATAACAGACTGTTGGAATGATTTTAATTGTGCACCACCTTCTACGCAAGTACTTCAGAACTGCCACTTAAAGTGAAGTATTCCTCATCAAGTATATTCATCATTAGCTATCCAAGGGAGAATAATGCCAAAACTGTGTTTTCTGAGTTCTTGATTTGGGAGAATATTTGGAATGAAAATGTGAAGTTGCTAATAAGCAGTCTCTTATTATTTAATGCACTTTATGTGAGGGTCATTATACCTCCATTTGGCATTCAACATAACAGCTTCAAAAAGGTAAAAGAAATATCTTCAAGATTCATGAAAGCCTGAAGTTGAATTATACAGGTCTCCATGTGCATACTAACTTGTACACAACTGGTGTACCAGTTGCTAAAATAGGTTTGTAAAATTAATTCTTTGCTTCTATTAATTTATACTAAACCCCCTTCTGAGTAGAACACATGAAATTTAGTTAAAGGATTTCTACGTATAATTGTTTTCATAACAGGTTTCTCTCAACAACAGGCATGGCCATGACCCATGTGCTCTCTCTCTCTAGCTCTCTATTCCTCTTTGTCACACTCATCCCCACACACACACTCACAAGGACAGAGGCTTTTTCTTTGGATGAGGTTAAATCACGAAAGATGATTATATCAATTATTATTTATTGGATGTGAATTCTTTGTGGAATATCATCTTAAGGATCAGTCGCAGGAGTGCAAATCTAACTCCAATAGCCCAGCAGTGAGGGAAAACAAAATCAAAGAGGAAATGCATACAACTGTGAAAATGCATACATTCACTAAGGTGGGGCTGGACTACTCTACCCAGTACTCTTTCCAGGCCCCAATTGTGTGACGTCTGTTACCAAATTATTCTTCATAAAAATGTCCAATGAGAAGACTTAACTGCGAATTTAAAATCCTTCACAGGGATATGAAGGAAAGATCTTGATAAATTTAGTTTACTGAGGAACCAAGCTGAGTATAAACGTTGCCTTACCTAGCTGACACAATTTTGTGTCTCAAACTCAAACGACCCGCTCCCTGTGCACATTCGCAGCAAGCCATAAACCAAAATGCAAGACTCCACTCTAGAACCACTATAACCCTTCAGATTCTTTGTTATTATATCTATCACACTTACTAGGTATTCTCCTGAAATACTGTGAGCCAGTACTGAGGCAATCACAGGGTTTTTTTTTTTTTTTTGCTTAAAGATTTTATTTATTTTTATTGGAAAGTCAGATATAGAGAGGAGGAGAGACAGAGAGGAAGATCTTCCATCCGCTAATTCACTCCCCAAGTGGCCTCAATGGCTGGAGCTGAGCCAATCCGAAGCCAGGAGCCAAGAGCCACTACACTACTGTGCTGGGTACAGCAATGATAGCTTTGAGATAGCCTTTAACTTTGACATACTAAAAGAGTTTCTACTTTCATTTAAACATTCCCTTAATGTGTCTTCAGGCTTTTTATTAATACACAGACAACTACATTTGGAAACTGAATGTGAAGCAAGTTTAACACTAAAAACACACCATTAATCCGGCTAAATAATCATAGTAAAACAATTTTACTGCTGAAAGAACAGAAGATGGATATATATATATATATATATTTATAAATACATAAATATATATGTTTTAAAACAAATGGTCTGATACAGCTATTTTTGCCCATTTCAATAATCATGAAAGAAAGTCGTTTACATAAATGAGACTTTGTTTTTCATTATACCTAGCTCATAATAATATTTATGTGTTTGTAGAGTACTACTTTACAGGAAAAATTAAGAATGAAGTCTAAGAACCAGGCATGATTGTGCCACTGGCTAGTCCTCCACTCACAAGCACAAGGATCCCATATGGATGCTGGTTCTAATCCCAGCTGCCCCACTTCCCATCCAGATCTCTGCTTGTGTTCTGGGATGGAAGTCGAGGGCGGCCCAGGCTCTCGGGATCCTGCATGTGGGAGACACAAAAGCGGCTTTGCACTCCTGGCTTCAGATCAGCTCAGCTCTAGCCACTGCAGCCATTTGAGGAGTGAACTTGTGAAATGTAGGAAGATCTTTCTATCCCTCCTCCATCTATATCTGTATTTGCGATAACAAATAAATAACTCTTTCTTTAAAAAGAGAATGAAGTCTAATCTTTAACAAATAAAAACAAAGAACACATTGTTTCAGGTATAGAAATGAATATGACGTATTTAAATCTAACTACCTTCCCTGTATGCAAGGGGCTTTATTTTGAAGTCAGTAGTTTAAAACAATGCTCAAATCATTTTTTTTCTCCAAATCTATGCTACTGAGAAACAAATTATTTACAATTTAATTGCTAAAATTTTTAAAATTTTATGTTATTTTATAACGTTATTACACTTTAATAAGATCAAATCTTACAGAAAGTTATACTGTATCCACTTTCACATGGAAGTAAATAATTTGGAATCTCATCTTTTCCTTATAACCAAACATCAGTACAAACAGTTACTCCACACCCAATGTTTCCCCATCTATGCTCACTGATTGTCCAGGAAGTTGCTAATTTCCTCAAGACTAATAAGAAGGCTAGAGTCCTAAAACCCTCATTTATCCAGAATTTTCTCGGTAGTTCCTGTGGGAAATAATATAATAACTACTAGAATATTTTCAGGTGCTGTAATTGGTATTTACTTATGCTGTTTAATGTATCAATTAAAACTAGCATCAAAACACATCTAAACAACCTATTATTTTTCAGTATTTATATGGTTCATAAATTATTAACCCAAATCTCAGGTATTATATTTCTTATTTATGTGTCTGCCCAATACAGTCTTGGGGCTCATTAGAAGCAGCAAATTAATTGATTTCCAATGAAAATCACTGAACTTTTTAATGTCAACATAGCAATTAAAGTGCAAATAATTCATACAGAAATTTTATGCCCAAGAATGCAAACAGAATCTCAGAAATGTTGACACACAATTTGTTCTATTTGTTTACAAATATATCCTTTGCTAATTGAAAAAAAAACAAGTAGAGCTATTGCAAAATATAGAAATTGTTAACATTTTATGTAAATAATTTTTATAGATATTTTTGTTATGCTCTTAGAAATAGTTAATTAATACTTTAAACCTGAAAAAATGATGTACTATGCTCTTATATTACTCAAAAAAGGGAGTCATTTCAAAATAAGTGTTAACAAAGAAAAAATTAAATGAAATAAAGAAAATTGTCATACCACAAGAAATGTAAACTATGTTGTTAGTTTATAGAAATAATGATCAATCCTTTCATATTATTTAATATGCTTGATATATCATAAAATGATTCAAATCAAAATCAATTATACATAAAATATGGGCTATATTAACAACCATTTATTCAAATCCAGTGTTGTGAAATTATTGGAAATAAATGCTAGCAGATTTCACTTTAAAATTGACTTCTCCATATCAGAATATTACACAACACACCATTTTCCTCCAGTGGACTCCAAGTTGAATTTCCCTTGACAATTTGCATAGTATTAAGGAAGAATAATAAAATATAAACACTCCCTTTAAATGCGTATTCCAAAAAGCTTGTATAATATAATTCAGTTGATAAATATGAACCTATGTGTTTATCGAATCCCTAAGAAGATTAGCTAATCAACTTTGCGTAATTACCATTCACCATCTGTTCCGCCAGGGCCTGAGCTGATCTGCTGGCATCTTGCAGTTTTCTGAACTTCTCGGCTTTTTCTTGCTCAATGGCCTGCAGCATGATAGCAAAGGTGAGTATTTCAATACAAGGATTGTGAATGCACACAGTAACTGTAAGATCTACTTCTCTTTCAAGCATTAAGATATTCACTGTGTCAGCTCATCATGTGAATCAAAACATTTTTTCCCCTCAACTCTTTTGCATAAGTATTATTCAATATTAGTTCAAATATATATTCCGATTTCAGCTCTCATTGTTATACAGAAATTTTGTCAGGAAATTCACTGATTTTCTTCTTGCCAGATACAATGCTTGTTAAAGCAAAAAGTACTGATAACTACAACTAGCTCCTTGAAATCACCTTGTACATGAAAATATCTCTCTATTTGATATTATCTGTCTTTAATCTTGCTTCCTCAGAAAACTCGTCGAGCTGTTCAATGTATGCCTCTTTTGTTTATATCCCTGCCCAGTGTATATTTGCATATGTGAATACATACATATATGAGCACATGCTCTTATTCCAACAAAATACCTATTTTATAATGCAATATACTTCAGCAATGATTTTAATAGATTATTAATTCATTCAATGTTTCATATGTGAACATTCTTCGGATTCTGAAGTACTTGGTACATACTTCGGATTCTGAAGTACTTGGTACAAATAATTTCATATAAATAATTCAGAAGTTCAAAAGTGTAGTATAGGCTTATACAAATTTTTACAAACCAGCATGAAATTATTAATCGTACTTACAATGCAAAATAAAAGACAATGGAATTCTATAACGCAACAATGTAAATCAGAAACCAGTGTTGTTGCATAGTGCCAAGCTGCCTCCTGTGCTGCTGGCATCTCATACAGGTGCCAGTGTGAGTTCCTACTGCTCCAATTTTAATACAGCTGTATGCTGGTGCATGTGGAAAACCAGTGGAAGATGGCTGTCATTTGATTCCTTGTACCAATATGGGACACTGGACAGAGAAGGCTGCCTTTGCCCTCACCCAGTGTCTGCCTACCCAACCCTGTTTGGGTCATTTGAGGAGTCAAGTAGAGGATGGACGATTTCCATGTTTCTTTCTCCATAACTCTGCAGTTTGAATAAATAGATCTTTAAATGACTAAAAAAGTAAAAACAGGGCTCGGTCCGGTAGCCTAGTGCCTAAAGTCCTCACTTTGCGCATGCCAGGATCCCATATGGCCACCAGTTCTCATCCTGGCAGCCCCGCTTCCCATACAGCTCTCTGCTTGTGGCCTGGGAAAGCAGTCAAGGGTGACCTGAAGCCTCGGACCCCGAACCCACATGGAAGAGCCAGAAGAAGTTCCTGACTCCTGGCTTCGGATTGGTTAAGCTCTGGCTGTTGCAGCCACTTGGGGAGCTAATGAACAGGCAGAAGCTCTTCCTCTCTGTCTCTCCTCCTCTCTGTATATCTGACTTTACAAAAAAAATAAAGAATTTTTTAAAAGTGAAAACAAAAACTATTTCTATTCAAAGTATATACAAAGGTCCACTAATACTTCAAACAGCTGATTTAGAACACTTGATGTCCTGGCCCAGCACAATAGCCTAGTGGTTAAATCCTTGCCTTACATGTGCCAGGATCCCATATGGACACAGGTTCGTGTCCCAGCTGCTCCACTTCCCACCCAGCTCCCCGATTGTGGCCTGGGAAAGCAGCAGAGCATGGTCCAAACCCTTGGGATCCTGCACACACATAGGAGACCTGGAGGAAGCTCCCCCTTGCTTCAGATCAGTTAGCACCAGCTGCTGTGGCCACTTGGGGAGTGAGTGAACTAGTGGATGACAGATGAAAGATCACTCTTTCTGTTTCTCCTCCTCTCTGTATATCTGCCTTTCCAACATAAATAAATAAATAAATGAATAACATTTGATGTTTGGTTTTTCTATTTTATGGACATTTCTTATCATTCCTTTTACTTTCATGGTGTCACGTCTAATAAGAAAGTAATATAGTCCCTACAGCACCACCTTGAATTTGGAAACCAATAGTTTCCAATTCACTTAGCATTCTATAACAAAGTTTTGCCCCTTGACAGAAAAGTAATTCATACATTTAAATTTATTCAATTTAAATTTGTTTATGAATTTCTATATTCTTCATGTTGGTAACCAAATACATCACAGAAGTTTCTGCAGTGTTGATAAAATATATTAGTTTACACTGAATTACAGACCTGGCACTACTTGAGGCACCTGGATACAAAAACAAACAATTTTACTCAGAACCCTTAGTTTCTCAAAACCAACTATTGTTACCACCATGATCACAGCTAGAAACCAGGGTGATCCACAGGAATCGGATTATTGTAGGCTTGGTGAAGACAGTATGAACACATATGCCATATTCAGTTCTTTCAGCCAAAGATTACTAGGAATATACCTATATATGCTGATTTACTTAAATAATTAGACAGGTAGCACATAAAAGGGAACCATAAAGGCCTGACTCCAAGAGGATGCTAGAAAGAACCTAATGATTTGGGCCCCAGTTGGGTGATGTGAAGGTCAAGGAAGCCAGGCTTTGTTTTGTTCTGGTGTTACAAAGAAGTGGAATGATCAAATTTTCATCTAAATTCCAGGAAGAATATGGAGGCTAGACCCATAACTAGGATAGACTCATTGTCTATTCTGGGAGTAACAAGAGGGATATTTGTTCACCAGGGATTGTCTTGTCAACATTATTCCTTTTATCTGTATTCAGCCATGATTATAAAGTGGCTTTGTTTTTATATTGATTCATAATGACCATGATGTTGGCATTCTTAGCAGCTGCTCATATTCAATAGGATAATATCACAGACTAGCTACAAACACCAGGGCAGCTTTGAGCAACTTCAAACATAGCTGAACTGCAAAGCTGACTCCTTACTGAAAGAAGCTCTTTGATTCTTTTTTAAAATGATTATAAAGTGGTCCATACCAGGAACACACTTATTTGTTTAATAAGTTCAGTTTGGCAGAGGCAATGTAAATACTTCTAAAAGAAGACTGCATCGTAGCCAGGGAGATTACTACAGAAAAGTTCTTTTAAACAAATGTAAGCTAGTATATTTAAAAAAAAAACATTTATTTCAAAGTCTGTTACAGAGAGAAAGGAGACAGAGAAAAATGGTTATTACACTCAATGGCTTATGCTCCAGCAGCCACAACAGCCAAGGCAGGGTCAGTCTGAAGCCAGGAGGCAGAAGCTAGGAGCTTTGTGTCTCCCATATGGGTAGCCAGGTCCCAAACACTTGATCTATACTTTGTCTGCTTTTCTAGGTCATTGGCAAGTAGCTGGATCAGGCATAGAATAGCTGGGATATTAGCCAGCATCCATATGAGATGCCCGTGTTACAGGCAGCAGCTTCACTCGCTATACTAAATGCTGTCCCCAGCCATGAGATTACTTTAGATTAGGCTTGTTATAATGGAGATGGACAAAACCGTAACATAGATGATATCCTGTCATTTAGGACAGCACAGATGGACTTAGAGGACTTCACATTAACAGCAATAAGCTAGGCACAGAAAGATAAATATGAAATGATCTCACTCCTATAGAATCTGAATACCTTGATTTCATAGAAGCTGAAAGTAGAATGTTGGTTACCAAAGACAAGAAGAATCATGGAAAATTACAGAAAAGATTGGATAAAGGGCTAGCAAATTATAGTTGGACAGGAGTAAGAAGTTCTGGCCTATCTCATGGTAGAGTGCCTTTAAATAATTAATGATAATGTACTGAGTATTTTTCTAAAGAAGAAAAACAGGACTTCAAAGTATCTTCATGACAAAGAAACAGTAAAGGTTTGAGGTCCTAGATTTGCTCACCCTGATTCGAGCACAAAATGTATACATGCACTGAAACACACAACCACAAAAACTAGGGGGAAAATGTATGCATCACATAAAAATGAAATATCTATAGAAGTTTGTTATGACTAGCTAGACAACATAAAAAGACTGAAGATATGACTGTGCTGTTAGCTGGATGCAAGTTCCGTTGTACAGATACACAGGCAGTGATGTTACTGAGAATACCGGGAGAAACATTAGCCAAAGTAGTAAAAGCACAAGTTTTCTCACCAGGGCACATAGCAACTACCAGCCAAAAATACACTATTTGAGAAATAATATTTTGGCTAAAAAAGGAAGCAAAGTCTTCTACTGTAAAGGTGGGTAGAGGTTTAAGAGAGCTATAGACACTTGAAATGACTGATATAAACTGAGGATTAAATCTATTAGAAATGCACAGTAAGCCCATGGAGAAACACTGATTCATCATTTAAGAAATGGAGTCATATTTAGAAGTGACAACATCAGCACTATGACCATGCAAAAAGATGACTGGATTGAGGGGATGAGGCAGATCGACTGTCTGGTTAACAGCAGGATAACCCACATGGGTCCTTAGATTACTAAGAACTATGACAGAAGTTGAGTGTAAAAGACTGTGATCCCAGTGCCCAAAACACCAATGAGAAAACAACATAACAAAATGGTGACTGAGAGTTGAAACTACAATGGAAGAGATACTTTACAAAAATGAAAAATATCCTAAAAAATTTAACCTGTAAAGGGAGAAAACTAGCAATTCTGTAAGAATGAGTATGTGAAAGAAACACTTGTTATTAGAGTGTTATTGAAGACGAAACAGATTCTATGTATGAAAAGAATGAATACATCAATCACATCTGTCATCAAAGTATATATATCAGAGTCCTTACTGAGACAACAGAAGATAAAGACAAAAATGGGAGAAGAGGAAAAATAACATGAAGAACTCACAGATGAAGATACAAGAAAGGAATGGAGATTCCTATTTTCCACATGTTGAACACAGACAACACAGAATTATCCATAGGAAAAAAGGGGGTTAATAAACAAAAACAAGTAGAATAATCACAATGAAAATTTCCACCGCAACCTGGTAAAACACTGATTTGGTATGGATGTAAACAAAACTATATTCCAGACCAGAAAGATCTTAAGGCCTCCTGACCCTGAACGATTGATAGGATAGCTTTCCAAAGAACCTCACAGAAGGTCCATGTTCTCAGACATGTTATTACCGTACTCTATGGTCACAGGTTGCAGTTTTGTTTTACTACTAGTTTGCATTATAATGTACTCACATCAAACATTTAAATAGCTGGAATCCTAGAGCTAAAACATAAGAACAGTACTGACACCAGCATAATAAGACAGAGAACATCCAATAGTCAGGGGAAGTCCCAGATGATATCATAGAATATTGATTTCCAAACCTTTAGGTTTATCTGAATCAAATGCAGAATCTGATTCACTATGTCTGAGATTCCACATTTCTAACAAGCTCCCAGATGATAACATTGGTTGTTTGGGAAACAACCACAGGTTGAACAGAAAAATATCTGAGAACCTAACTTTACAGTAACCGCATGTATTAATTATCTTGACAAAATAAACCGTAAATTGAGAAATAAAACAACATATTTGGATTTAAAAGCTGACAATGCTGGAAGGCATCTTAATTGGCTAAAAGATCTTGAAAAGAATGAATGAATGAAAAGTATCATGAAAGAAAAGGGTAGTTGGTAATACTTAGCCAGTTTTAGTAAATACCTAGGCATGACTACCACTCAAGTTTGTAAGACACTATGCAAAGTAACTTATATACACTGACAAAAAGTTACAAAATTAATGCATGCCTAAGCTAAATATACATTATCATTATTATGCATTTCTCTCAAGGATTTTTAACACATACACAATATATTTCATATGAAGGATATGTCTCGGTAAATCATTTTATGTTCAATTTCAATATGCAATTAAGAATGATGTTATTTCAGAAATTGAGAGTTCAAACTGATAAAGTTGATTCACAAAGCATTAGAAAATCTCATGCACAATATTGTTCATTTTTATCACTTTTACTGTCATGCTTACATTATTGCTTAAATGCAAATAGCTTCTAGGTAACCATACGATAGCAAGAACTTTGGAATTTATATTCCTGAAATGTTAAAACTCAATTTCCCTGCTTGGTCAAAGCTATTTTAAGACACAGAAATCAAATTAAAAACAAATAAGTATAAAAACTACATGAGTCATTTTTTAAATTACTTAAGATGCCAGAGGTGATTTATATTTTGAATGCTTCATATGACACAGAAACTTTAAAACTTATTCAAAAAATATCCTTTGTAAGAACTTTCCAACTCATGTTTTCACAAAGATAATATCTTCAAATATAGAGAATTTGAAAATCATATTTATAGTTATATTTTGCACCATCAATTTAATTTTAAAATTAAAACATTTTAATTAAATTTCTCATTTTCTGAAACAATTTACAATAGTCTAACATAATGCTAACACCATATCTTACATTGCTTTAAGGAAATTTAAAATAACTTTCCAATTTATAAGCAGACAACTCTAAGTATTAATAAAAAGCTCTTGCCTTCCTAAAACACACATTATTTTTCCCCAGATGTTTTTGTTGCTACCTCCAGAAGTCCTAACTCTACCACAAATGTTAACCTTTATCTGAGATAGTGTTTGTAAAGCCATAATAGATTTCATAATTCATGATTGTTTGCAAGATTGGGTACACTGACTCGTGATCTTTTGATAGTAAAAACTATCTGACATTCACAACATTTATTTATCTTTCCAACTTTACAGTATTTACTCAGCCTGTCAGAAAAATCTCTTCCACCTGCTGCCAAATATACACCAAAACGAATATTTTATAATGCTTGATACCTAAAAATCAATTCCAGGATAATTTTCCAGATGATGTAGCAGCCCTTATGAAATTCATACAATTCATGAAAATTCTTATTGTAAAGGTCAAAACCATAGTGTCTAAGGAGGAAATAAAAAAAAGCAAACCATCTGGTACCATAGGTAAATAATGGAAGCGTCTGGACGACTTCTAAGGTAATATACTACATAAATATAGCAAATCATAAAACATATATGAGTTACTATAAAGAATAATTTTTGGACGTTAGTGAAAACAAACAGGGTTCCAAGTTCAGTAATTCTAATGGTCTGCTCTATAACTGTCTTCTATTTTATCCTATCTTATATTATTCAATTTTGGAAACCTGCAAATGCCCAGCATATGTAAAGGAACAATATCTGAAGGAAAATAATTATTTCAGGTTACAAAATTATTAATATATAGCTGGATAATATGTAAGTTATATAAGGTTTACGGAAGTCATTTCTCAATCAGTCACAATAGAATCAGTAAAGAGTTTCAGTGATAAATATTACTTTGCTTTTTTATCTGCAACACATTTTGCTTTTTATCTGCAATACATTTCAAAGACAGCATTATATCATATTGCTCTAATCCCTTCAACTCTAATAGATTTAAAGATAGCAAAGCAGGGAATTTATAAGCATTGACTAAAATAGGTGAATGCACAACAATTAACATGTAACCTACATTGACTTTTTCTTTCAGGTCTGAGAAGTTGCCTTCCTTTCGATATATTGCAAATTCAGGACTCTGTAACACAGCTTCTGAGCGAGTAATCCAGCTGTGAAGTTCAGTTATGTCGACATCCAACCTAAGACAGCAAAGAATAAAGGTCATTATTTCTTGATTATTTTCTTCTCCGTGGAAAAGAAAAGCAATTTATCCCTATTTATCATTCTTCTCCCCACTGAGACTCCTACCTGGTGCTAGATTACTGATGATAACACCACCATTTCCCTACTTAGACTCAAAATTTGGAGTAAGCTTTCATCTAGATTCTTATGATCATGGAGGTCATTTTAGCCATCTCAATGTCACAATCACCTCTCATGTTTCCCTCACACGCATAAGGTGTTATCTAGCCTCTGCTTGGAGTCTGCACTGTTTGAGAACTTACAGCTATCTAAAATAACTCTTACAGAAACTGCTTAAAAGAACCCCCAAATTCCAACTGGTGGAACAACCCTCTGCTATTCTGCCCACACATGTTGGAGAACCATACTAAATCAAGTTTGGGTCACACAATGTGCTATGGAAAGTTGGACACTAGTAAGAATAATCCACTCCAAGCGTGATCTTGAAAATTCTTGCACATTGGAACATTTTCTCTTACAGTGTTTACCCAGAGAAGACAATTATTACCTAACAAGTCCAGGAAAATACACTAAAACATATCTTGAGGTGATCATACTTCAAGAGAGCTTGTACCATGGCCACATGGAGATGTGTAAGGGTGCATATAAACGAGTACTTAACACAAGTTGCTGTCAATCAAATGAGGGGTCACAAAGTAGAACCCAAATGTATTCATAGGCACCCTGTCAACATCGCAGAATTGTGAGAAATTACACACATCAGTTTTGAATCAAGAAATCAATTTTCTGCAAGGTAATCATGCTGCTATAAATATCTGATTATCAGGGCTCTCCCACCTCCTTCTCCCCCTTATGAACTGTTCACTCTGATGAGGGGATTCACATCTGGAATAGCCAAGAGTGGGAATCAATATAACTGTCCATCAACAGAGAATACATAAAAGAAAATTTGATATGCTCATATACCTAATGGATTATTATTCCAACTTATAAGGAAGGAGAACCCATCATCTGTTACAACATGAATGAACTTGAGAGCTGCCATTTTGGCAAAGTGAGTTAAGCTGCAGTCTGTGACACCATCCCAAATGGGCACCAGTTTAAGTTGTAGCTGCTCGCTTATATTCCAACTCCATGCTAACATACCTGGGGAGTCTACAGAAGACAGCTCGAGGACTAAGATGGCTGTCACACTTGTGGGAGACCTGGACAGACTTCCACACTCCTGGCTTCAGCCTGATGCAGCCTCAGCCACTGTTGCTATTTTGGGAGTGAACTAGTGAATGCATCAATCTTTCTGTACCTTCATCTTTGAAACACATAGGTAAGTGTTTTAAAAAAAAATATGTACAAGCTTGGGAGACTTCATGGAAGGTAAAATAAGGTAGACAGATTAATATAGTCAAACAGCAGCTGTGAGAATAGCAGTTAACAGGGGCTGCTTGGGCAAGTTGGAGGAAGAAATGTTGCACGAATGATATAAAATTTTAATTAGGAGGACTAAGTTCAGAAGACATGTTGTACAACACGGTGTCTACAGTTACTAATGATATACTGTGCATTTTATACTTGCTGAGTACGTTTCAAATATTCTCATTACTCAAAATAGTATATATGTGAGGTAATGCTTGCATTAATTAGATTAGCCACCCACAATACATATGTGAATATATAAGCATTACATGTGTATCTTCCCCAGTTTAAAATAACACATTTTTCAAATAATGTTAAAACATTTCCCTCAAAGCATAGGTTTTAGAGTAGTAGTGCAGGTGGTTGCAAAGATGATGAAATAAGTACGAATCGTTGGAAGTTCCAGGCAGAATTCTAAATCTATGGAAATTTTTCTGGAAAAAAAATACCCTTTGATTTTTAACAACACCAGCATGGCATCTATGAAAAGGGAATTTAGAGCTAATTTAATGCAACACTTTATGAATGCAAAGAAATAATCATTACCAGAGAAATAAAGGACTTACTTTTCATGAGAAATCTGTGGAGCAGAACTAAGAAACAAGATATAAGAAACCAAGTAAGGCAAGTTACTCACAATGCTGCACCTTCTTCTCCGCAAGAACCCTCAAAGATTTCAAGAACAGTTCTTTCAATTCAATAGGACATACCTGAGGTCAGAGTAACCTACCCCTAACTAATTCCGTAATTCCGTGGACATTTGATGATGTGTAGTTGTGTTAAGTTTTCTTAAACTGTGGCCCTTAAAAGGAACATACCAGTAGTGTGCGATAAATCAAAGAGCAAACACAAGGATCCTCTTGGTTTACAATCCTTTCTTTGAAGGATCCTAGGATTTCAACACCCTCACTTCAATAAAATTTCAAGTCACAGTCAAGTTAAATAGAGAGAAAATTTAAAATGTTAACATAAAATGACTATGTTTCTATGATAAGCTGTCAACTATAACAAACATACGAACTGATTCATGAACTAAAACATCAGTTTTGAATTATATAAATCTGCCAGAATTTTCCACATGAACGATAGCCTGTATTTTTCAAAACTGAATACAGCATTTCACAGAATGCATAACTGACAAAAATATATACATGTTTCATATTACAAAATCCTAGAGTTATATTCACTAATGCACCTGCTAATGTAAAAAGATGCCATCTCAGAGAAACTAATTAATCCCTGACTTTTTGTACCATTTGACAGGATCCTGACTCATCTACTTCTGTATTATATTCTTCATCTCCAAAGAAGGTGATAAATACTCACTGAATTGTATTTACAAAAGGTAAGCAACCAGAATCTTCATGATTGCTCAAAAATCACAGGTCACTGAAAACTAATACTTTCCTTTACAGCTACATAATAAATAAATTTGCATGATTTTTTATTTTATCATACATGGCTGATGTTGTCCTTCTGATTTTGTTTTATCCATAGGTTTAATCTCTAATATTTTCTAGTTTTAATTCTGAGTGCTAAAAATGTGTCCTGTTGTATGTTGTGTAAGTCACTTCACTCTTTCCCCTTCCCACGGATTCATTGATGTTAATTCATCAAATCTATATTATTTGCTTAAAACTGTTTTGCTAACCAAAACTCTGGGAATCATTAGGTCACAAACATAACGTAGCAATGTTTTGTACCTGAATGTCTTGTGGCAGGCATTTTTGTTTTGCCTTTGGCCCAACCCAACACAAAACTCCCACATGTCTCTGCCTGCGGGCATTCATTCATCAGCAAATACACTATCTCTACCAGGAGAGCTGAAGCATTAAAATTTCAGGAGTGACACTTAATCAGCAACATATGGAAAACCATCCCAGTTCCCTTGTCCCTCCCTTAAATCATTCTGAATTATGTAACATGCACTATCTCAGAAGGTTCTGGAAGGATTGAACCCCAGATGCCCACAACAGAAAGTTGGACCCTTCCCCTTCATAATGTATTTTGATTGTATTCATCCCCCTACGTCACTTTCCTTCACTTTGTGGGATCAATTGCCAATAAATTATCTGCAGTTAAATCTTTGTCTTTGGATATATTCTTAACCAAACCCAAATTAAGGCAATGATCATCAGCCTCAAATGAACCTAGAATCCTGCCATGCTTAATTGTTTTTCTCAACTTGAGTTCTGACTCACTCATCACAAGAACTATTTAAAACTTTTCTTTCCAAAGCTCTCAAAGCTCTGACCCACCATCTTTCCCCAGCTGTCTCAGCAGATGATCTTGTTTCCTCGAGTACAAATCACAAATATCAGACTTGAATTTCTTCTACTTCCTACATCCAAATATTCCATGCTTGAATGTGTAACCAGTCCTCTCACTCCTCTTTCTTGCATTTGAATATTTCCTCATTCTATATAACAGCAACTGCTTACTTAAATTTGCACATGATCTTAATTTCATCTTGGGTATTTTGGTCCATTGACTTTGTATCATTTATCTGCCATAAATCCACTATCTTATCAATTATATTCTTCACATGAAAATCTATAGACATTTTACTAACTCCCATTTTTTGAACAATCTGGGCATCTGTATTCACCTTTATCTATTCTGTAATCTGCCACAAAGCCAAGCTTGTTGGACAGTCACATACCTCATGGATCAGGGTTACTCCTTTTTACTATGTAAGCCATTTAGTGTAACTTTCCGAAAATAAATACAATTCACAACCCATGGGAAGTGTGACCTTCTTTCTGTCTAGTAACAGTTACACTAACCATATTTTCCTTTTTGAAATATTCCTTCCTTTGCCTCCAGGATGCTACTTGATTCTTATCTGTCTTCTCATTCTGCATCAATTGGTGCTTCCTTTACTTCACAAGATCATTCTTCTTGTCACTAAAGATTCGGTTCACTATTAATCACCTATTCTGCTATTTTATTCTGTCACTACCAATGTTATTGCTTATGACTAGAACTGCAATCTACAATTAATAATGGTAACAAGCCTAACTCAAATTCATGCATTTTGGTTGAGCTCTGTGTAACCATCTTTCCACCAGGCATCTCTACTTACACATTGTAAACTGCCTTCAACATTAGATGTTAAATTTTACTGTCTGATCTCTTTCACAAACTCAACTTAGTGGAAAGGATGGTACTGTCATCATGGTGATGCCATTCACAGATTTGCTGAACATTCATAGGGTATCCATTTATGGGAGAGATCAGACACTAAAATGTAAGATTTTGGTGATGGCATTAAGAGATAGGGCTTTTGATTAGGTAAAATCTTCACAAATTGAATTAACAGCCACAATTCTGGCTGAAGAGACTGTTCTTTTTTCTTCTACCACTTACTCAATAGTCTGCTCTAAGCAGCAAACAAGCCTGCTTATAGCTACATCTTAAAAGCTTTTGAGACACCAGAGCTGAAAGGAAGAAGTTCATTGTTTCCAATCTACCTAGTGTATGGTATGTTATGAGAATATGGACAATGATACTATTTTTCCTCATACTGACTTAATTCAAAATCTAATCATCAAGTGTTTAGTTAATGGTTCCCAAATATATC